CCATCCTCAACTGCTTTCCCAGGCCTCAAGCAGGGAACTGGATGGGTGTGGCTTAGCTAGAATTACAACCAGTGTCCATATGGGATTCTGCGTGCAAGGCGAGGACTTTAGCCACTAGGCTATTGTGCCGAGCCCAGAAAGAAAAGTTTTCATGGGGACAATTTCAGTGTGCAAAGTGAGATTTAAGAAAGCAAGAGAGGGCCCGGCAGTGTGGCCTAGCGGCTAAGGTCTTCACCTTGAATGCTCCAGGATCCCATATGGGCACCGGTTCTAATCCCGGCAGTTCCACTTCCCATCGAGCTCGCTGCTTGTGGCCTGGGAAGGCAGTCAAGGACTGCCCAATGCTTTGGGACCCTGCAACCGCGTGGGAGACCTGGAAGAGGTTCCTGGTTCCTGGCTTCAGACAGCATAGCATTGGCCGTTGCGCTCACTTGGGGAGTGAATCATCGGACAAAAGATCTTCCTCTCTGTCTTTCCTCCTCTCTGTGTATCTGACTTTGTAATAAAAATAAACACATCTTTTTTTTAAGATTGATTTTTATTATTTTTTTTTATTGGAAAGGCGGATATATGTTCCGGCCAGCAGAGCCAGTAGCATGGACACGGCGAGGGTCAGGGAATCGGGCACCGACAGGAGACCAGTAGTGGTGGAAGAGGTCTCTCTCTGGCCTCCCTTTATTCAGCCATATATACTTTTCCCTCAAGCCTCTAGCAGAACAATTGGATGCTAATGAGTCTGACAGACCAGGTGCCACTAGCCTCCAAGCCCATTTCCTGCAGGAGCCAAGCTTAACAAATGCAAATCAACTCCTTAGCCCACAACAGATATACAGAGAGAAGAGACAGAGAGGAAGATCTTGCGTCCAATGATTCACTCCCCAAGTGAGCGCAAAGGCCGATACTATGCCGTCCGAAGCCAGGAGCCTCTTCCGGGTCTCCCACGCGGGTGCAGGGTCCCAAAGCTTTGGGCTGTCCTCAACTGCTTTCCCGGGCCACAGGCAGGGAGCTGGATGGGAAGCGGGGCTGCTGGAATAGAACCGGCGCCCATATGGAATCCCAGGCGTGCAAGGCGAGGACCTTAAGCACTGCGCCACCGCGCCGGGCCCAATAAATAAATCATTAAAAAAAAAAAAAAAAGCGCGCGAGAGAGGTCTCTTGCCTGCCACAGTGCCAAGGCAGAAAAAAACCCCAAGAAATGGTGGAAGTGGTGTCTTTTAAGCACCATCTGGGTCGGGAGGGGGGCGGGGGAGGGAAGGGAACAACAACAGGAGTCACTCAAGGGGCAGAATAGAGATTTAAAAAAAAAAAAGGGCAGCTCAGTTGCCCTGGGCAACGAGGCCTGGCAGTTTGCTCAGGACAAAAAAACATATCACAAAGGTGACATGGGTGGCTTCTTCCTCCCACTCAGATGATAATCTCAAATCTCAGGCACCATTTCCCAGCAGGTAATTCAGAGTTGGGGTTGCTTTGGGTTAAGTCTCTCTGCTTTTGTCATGACAACCACTTTAATAGATGGGAATTGATATGTTGATTTTCTTTGTTCTCCCTGAAAGGGACTAAGGGTTATGAAGCTAGGTTAAAAAATGGAAGAGAAAGGGTAAGAAATGGGGAGAAGCAAGATTTTGTCTTAAAAGGAGCTGGAACTAGACACCCTTTCTGCCTCATTAGTCCGTCTGATGCCTCACAGAATCCCCAAACTGGGTCCGGTTGCCTGAGTCAGAAGTCCAATCACTGACCTCAGGTGCTGGAAGACAGTAGGTATTTGTCACAAAGCACAAGAGTGAGACTCCCAGCAGCTATTGCTTAATTCCCAGGCTCCCCAAAGAGTTGGGGGAGACGGTTGCTGTATATTGAAATTGCAAGTGACTAGTTCCTATTCAGGCTTCCAATCTTCCTTTGATGGGGGAGTTTGCTATACTCTTTTTGTTTGTTCATTAATTACACTGTATTATGTGACACAGTTTTATACATACCGGGATTCCTCCCACCCCTCCCCTAACCCTCCCCCCATGGTGGATTCCCCCCCTTGTTGTGTAACCACAGTTCAAGTTCAGTTGAGATTCCTTCATTGCAATCATATACCAAGCATAGAGTTCAGCATCTTTTTTTAAAAAATATTTTATTTATTTATTGGAAAGTCAGATATACAGAGAGGAGGAGAAACAAAGAGGAAGATCTTCCGTCCAATGATTCACTCCCCAAGTGAGCGCAATGACCAATGCTATGCCGATCCGAAGCCAGGATCCAGGAGCTTCCTCTAGGTCTCCCACAATGGGTGCAGGGTCCCAAGGCTTTGGGCTGTCCTTGACTGCTTTCCCAGGCCACAAGCAGGGAGCTGGATGGGAAGCGGAGCTGCTGGGATTAGAACTGGGACCCATATGGGATCCTGGTGCATTCAAGGCGTGGATTTTAGCCGCTAGGCCACGTCGCCGGGCCCAGAGTCCAGCATCTTATTGTCCGGATAAATTCAATGGCTTCTTGGGGAGACCTTCTCTGGTCTGAAGGTAGAGCCAACAGAGTAAAATGCCGATCAATTAAAAGTCCCAACGTAACATCAGCAACAATATATAACGTTATGGAATTAATTGACATACTATTGAGTAAATAATATGTTAAAATTAAATGCAAGTTCTTAACAACCTCCTGTGACTACTTCGTTGAGATTTCAACAATTGAGGTGCAAAACAGTTTAAGGAGGAGTGTGCAGAGAAATCTTCAATACCTTGGTGAGGAGTACTTAACCTTTGTGTCCTACCTGGTAAGGTATATGTGAGCCATGCTGACCAAGCTTTCATTGTTGTTCTCTGCCTATCTATTCTAATTTGTGAGTGAGTGTGTGTGTGTGTGTGTGTGTGTGTGTGTGTGTTTGGGGTGGGGGGCTCTGGAGCGACCCTGATGGTCATTGCAGAGAGGGTGGGGACCCTAATTTGGAACTAAGTAAGGACCAGAGAAAGCTCCTCTCCCTTGTCCCAAAGGAAGTTTACTGTGCTTCTGATTCTGGGGACCGCTCAGGGTTCCTGGCTGTTGTTCCGATGACCTTGGATCCTATGAGGAAGGATTTGGGCTTCTTTCACCCCATGTAATAGATCCAAAAGGGGGTGGATGACTTCAAAGTTCTCGGCCTGCGAAGGCACTCCAGTTCCCCGTGGTCTCATTGGCAGTTGGGATGTAGTCCTTGGTGCCCGTACTGATAGTCCTTGATAGTCTGGGAGTCTCCAGGGTTGGGATACAAGTCTCCTGTCTCCTCCTGTCCCCCTGCTCCACTCTAGCCCCCCCCCCCGCATATGACCTCCTGTTAATATGCTGTCAGGACTGCTCTTGATTTCCCCTGTATGTCTTTGTAGTTTTACTATTGTCTAATGCTGTTTTGAATCTATTGTCTGTAAGTTACCTGTTATGTTCCTGATAGGTTACACTACACGGCTTCCTCACACATTCAAAGGAGATGGAAGATTTCCTTGCTCTCCCGCCCCATTTCTAAGTAGCACAGGGTTTTGAAAGTTTATTAGGTTTTACAGTTTTTCAAAACACATGGGTTGAGACCGTATTAGTTACAGGTGCATCTGAGGAAGATTTATTGTCATTGGGAATCTTTTTTTTTTTTTAAAGATTTATTTTTATTATTTTTTCATTGGAAAGGCAGATATACAGAGAGGAGAGACAGAGAGGAAGATCTTCCGTCCGATGATTCACTCCCCAAGTGAGCGCAACGGGCCGATGCTATGCCGATCCGAAGCCAGGAGCCTCTTCCGGGTCTCCCACGCGGGTGCAGGGTCCCAAAGCTTTGGGCCGTCCTCGACTGCTTTCCCAGGCCACAGGCAGGGAGCTGGAAGGGAAGCGGGGCTGCCGGGATTAGAACCGGCGCCCATATGGGATCCCGGGCGTGCAAGGCGAGGACCTTTAACCACTTGCGCCACGGCGCCGGGCCCTGTCATTGGGAATCTTTAGGGTAATTCACGTCCCCAAAGCCCTGAGGGTTCAGCATGGAGCTTTCTAAGCATCAATCAAAGAACCAAAATTCCAGAGCTCCCTGGCCAGGCGGCCAGCAGGCAGAGCCTAGCGCCAATGCTCGATGGCAGCTCCCCACGCACGAGTGGTAGCCGCTGTGTGAGATCCAGGCATGAGCCGCCATGCAGCAGCTAGAAGTCCAACCCCCCAGGCTCAAGTCCCCGGGAGTTTGCTATACTCTTTAGGGAATTTATAGCGGTGAGGGGGTAGGGTCACATTGATGTTACATTTTCTCCAGACAGTACTAGCCATCAAGGCTGTTACCTGCAGGGGAGCAGGTTACTATTCTAGATTAGCATCCTGTAGAATCCCTTGTGCCCCTCCCTCAATTCTTGGAATTCCTTTTGATAAAGGATTGGCAAGGACACCTTGTGCTAAGGGTGATGGGAGGGTAGGCTGACCTCATGGGCAATTTGGTCTCACTAACCTTCTAGGAGTCGTTTATATTCTCATTCCCCCAAAACCATTGGCTCCCCTCTCGCAAATTAACAGCGTAGACATGGTCTGGGAAAGAGTAAAGACAATCGCAAGGCCGCAGAGCCAGCCACGTCCCCAGGCCTCGAACATTCTCCGGAAGATCGAGTTCCTCTTCGGCTAATTCCTTTCTTCCGCCCCGCCCACCGCGCGCGCGAGGTTCCGGGGTCACGTGGCCGCCCGGCGCGGGGCGAGGGGGAAGGGAAGTGGGTGGTGCGGCGGCCGCCATCTTGCGCGGCTGGAGGCGGGGCGTGTGGGGCGCCGGGCGCGCGCTTCCCTTCCCGTCCCCTCCCCTCGGCCCGGCTCGCGCGCGCTTCTCCGGGCCGCTGCCTGTGGCCGCCGCTCGCTCCCCGGAGTAGCGGATCGGGGAGGCCCGGAGGGCGGGAGGGGTGTGTCGGCCGCGTGCTCGCGCCCTCAAACCGCCGGCTCGCGGGGGCGCGCTGGGCCGGGCGCGGGCCGAGGGGAGGGTGCTGCCCCGGGGGGCGGCGCGCCGCGGCCCTGCTGGTGGCGGTGGCGGTGGCAGCGGCTGCAGCTGCGGCGGCGCGCTCGGGGCCCGCGTCCGGGGCGCCCGCGGGTCGGAGCTGCTGGCGGAGCCATGTACCGCAGCGGCTCCCGCCCCTCCGTCTCCTCACACCGGCCTAAGGACGGCGGCCCGCGCAGCAGCCGCAGCTCCGGCTCCTCGTCAGGCTCCGTTCGTCGCACTTCGCCGCCACCGCTCTCCTCCTCGTTCCGTCGGACCCCGACTCGCCGGCCCCGCTCGCCTTCAGGGCACCGCGGCCGCCGGGCCTCGCCGTCTCCCCCGCGGGGTCGCCGCGGCTCCCCGTCCCCTCCGCGGGCCCGTCGCGGTTCCCCGTCGCCACCGCGGGGCCGACGGCTCTTCCCTGCGGGCTCGTCCGGCTACCGAGGCAGCAGCCGAGGGGAGTCCCGCGCTGACTTCGCCCGGGACGGCCGCGGAGACCATTCAGGCGACAGCGGCAGCCGGGTAATCCCTCGCCGGGGACCTTCCCCTCCATCCCCAGTCCTTTCGGCTGGAGTACCGGCTTCCACCAACGCCCCCTCGGGGCCCCCAGGCCCGGGTCCTGGGTGGAAGCCTCGCCTCAGCCCACCCTCCCCCTCTGTGGCTCCCGTCTGCCCGGGAGCATCATTTTCCACGATAACGGAATGGGGACCCCTCGGGCGCCAGGACGGGAGGCAGCGTCCCGCTTCTTAGGACTTGGGGTGAGGTGTTGGAAAAGTTGGCCGGGACGAGGGGGCGTTTCGAAGAGTTGACGTCTCAAGGGTTGCGCGACGCGTGTCCCCTTGCCCAGGAGCTTGCTAGCTGCAGCACGGGGCCCGAACCTTGCCGAGGCTAGCGGTGTTAGCGACTCGCCCATCTAAAGCGGAATGAAGTGTGCAGAACCACAGCCCTGCGCATGGACACACCATCCCCTCCCTGACCTGGCAGTAGTAGTTTGGCTTCCCCCTAGTTTCCCCTCCCCCCACACACACCCTGACCCTGGCCACCTTGGTTGATGAGTTACTGCCGAGGGGTTCCCTGCTCTGCCCAGGGAAGCTTGGGTATCTTGGGAGAGGAGGCGGCAGTGCTGGAGCTGAGTATGTTCGGTTGGCATCTGCCCCTGTGTCGAGGCCGCAGTTTGCATCGTTAGGTTTTACTGCCCCAGCAGCTGCAGCAGCGCAGGGTAGATTCCGTGGACTTGAGGTATAGTGGCCATCTCCGACTAGAGCCTCTGGGTAGGGTTTGCTGTTTTGAAAGTGGTTTTTGTTTTTGGTTCATCAATTTGTTTTTTCGTTTAAGCTTAGTAACAAAGTGTCTCTTTTCGCCGGCGAGTCTGACATGTAACCTGGTTGAATTGCTACTGTTTAGGCTGAGCAGTGTCAGTCACTCCCCTTCAAGGGAAACAACAGAAGACAAGCAACCAAAGTCTTCCTTTTCTCCAACGACTGATTGGCTTCATTCTTCTGGGTTTTAGTAAATGGTATCTTCCATTGCTTAAGAAAAAGTTGTGGTCTCCCTCCTTCCCACAGCTCTTCTGTCAGATGAACTTGATATCTGTATAATCTGCTAGCTCTTCCTCCAGGTTACATCCGCCAGAACAGTCTTGTGGTCTTCAAAGCCCTAGACCCTCTTGGCGGAGCATTGTATTTGGCTCCCATCCAATTCTCTTTTGCCTCTCTGGTAATTCTGTATGCAGTGGTCCATCTGATGATTTCCACCTTTATTTTATACATTTCACAAACATTCTCCAGCATTGGGCAAGTTCTGGGATGTCAGGCCACAAAGGTGAACTAATCAGAACATTTCCTGTCCTTGTTTCACCTTCTGGAGAAGAGCTAATTAGTAAGAGATGTTAGAAAGGCTGTGACGTAAATGTAATTGCAAAGCAAAACAAACAAAAAAACGAAGTTAGTTGAATTTTTTTTAAGACTGATTTTATTTGAAAAGCAAAGTTACAGAGAGGGAGAGATAAGGAGATGTTCCATCTGCTGGTTCACTCCCTAAATAAATGCAGTCTTTGGGGTTAGGGCCAGGCTGCACCCAGGACCCTGGAACTAACTCTTCTTGATGTCCTGTATGGCTGGCAGGGGCACAAGCTCTTGAGCTGTTTTCACTGCTTTTCCAGATATATTAGCAGGAAGCTGGATGGGAAATGCAAGCAGCTAATAATGTAACTGTTGCTTATATGGAATGCTGACATTTTGGGTCAGGACTTATCCTGATGTGCCACAGTGCTAGTCCAGGGGGTTAAAATTTTGAGTGTGTTTGAGAGAAAACCTTTCTGGGAAGGTGAGCCTTGAAAACAGACCAGGAGGAAGTGAGGCAGTGAACCATGCAATCATCTGAAAATAAAAATGGAGAAAGGCCACATCACTTTCCCTCTTAAAACTCCCCTGTAGCTCTTACTAAGAGTAAGTCCAGATTTTTGTTTTGGAAATTCAGATATACAGAGAGGAGGAGAGATAGAGAAGAAGATCTTCCATTCTATGGTTCACTCCTCAAGCAGCTGCAATGGCCAGATATGAGCCAATCCAAAGCCAGAAACCAGGATCCTCTTCCAGGTCTCTTGTGTGGGTGCAGGGTCCTTAGGGCATAACTGTTTTCGCAGGCCACAAACAGGGAGCTGGATGGGAAGTGGGACTGCTGGGATTAGAACCTGCTCTCATATGGGCTCCTGGTGTGTTCAGTTCTACTTAGTTTTTTGTTTTGTTTTGCTTAAGATTTATTTATTTATTGGAAAGTCAGATATACAGAGAGGAAGATCTTTCGTCTGATGATTCACTCCCTAAGTGAGCGCAACAGCGTATGCTATGCTGATCCGAAGGAGCCAGGAACTTCTTCCGGGTATCCCACACGGGTGCAGGGGGCCATCCTCGACTGCTTTCCCAGGCCACAAGCAGGGAGCTGGGTGGGAAGTAGAGCTGCTGGGATTATAACCGGCACCCCTATGGGATCCTGGCGCATTCAAGGCAAGGACTTTAGCTGCTAGGCCACACAGCCGGGCCCAGTTCTACTTAGCTTTTGTAGGACCAGTGTCTCACCATCTAGTTGTTAGGGTGAGTGATACTGCCTCAGAAAGACTTTCTCCGTTCTGTGTGGAGAGAGTAACTCCTTTTCTTGGGTTGTTCTGTGTTTTAATGACTCTAGCATCTACCTCTGCTAAAAGTATTTGACAAAAAGTTCCTGCTTGTGTTTTGCTCCCTTCTCTTTGTAGGCTCCAGTTCTCTGTTTGCATACTCACTACAAATGGGAGATCACTGGGAAGATCAGATGTATGGGCTTTTGTCTCTGAAAAAGGAAAGTTGTTTTTTTAAGTGCTTTATTTGTGGAGGAATATATTCTGTCCACTGGTTCACTCTCCAGATGGATGTAACGCCCCAGCTGAGCCAATCTGAAACCAGGAGCTTTTCTGGGTCTCCCATGCAGGTGTAGCGTCCCAAGACTTTGGGCCATCCTCCAGTACTTTCCTAGGCTATAAACAGGGAGCTGTACGGGAAGTAGAGCAGCCAGGACAGGAACTGGCACTCATGTGGAATGCTGATGTTGGAAAGTGGAGAATTTAGCCAGTTGAACTATTGCTCTGACCCCTGGAGTAGTATCTTGTAGCTCTTTCTCATCTTGTTGGACCACAGCTCTGATTAGGGAGAGATGTGTTTCTGGGTAGTCTTGACTGATTACCATGTGATCTTTGATCTTACAGAGGCGCTCTCCTGGTCTACATTCTGACTCTCTGGAACAAAGCCTAAGGATCACGGTGGGCAATGACCACTTCTGTGTTAGCACCCCTGAACGGCGGCGGCTTAGTGATCGATTGGGGTCACCAGTGGATCATCTGGAGGATATGGAAAGGTAGGCCATGGCTGAAACAGTGTGGGCTATGTTAGTTGAAGGCAGAAATGCTGCTGTTTTCCTCACAAGGATGTGTTTGAAAGGCTGGCGCTGGCACTGACGCTATTCTGTGAGTGCATTTGTCTGATAGAAAATACAAATTGTAAAAGGTTTCCTGAGTGAATACAATTTTGAATGAATTGTATAGGAGAAAAGACTTTAAAAAGGTCATCTTGTGCCAGGCCTTGTGGTATAAGGAGTGAAGTCACTGCCTGGAACTTTGCTATCACAGTGCTTGGGATCCAATCCTACCTCTGCTTCTGATCCAGCCACCTGCTAATATACTTGAGAGGCAATGAGTGATGGCCTTTGCTTGGGTTCCTGCCAGCCCCGTGGGAAGCCTGAATGGCTTCTGGCCACAGCTGTTGTGGGCGTTTGGGGGAGTAAACAAACAGATGGAAGGCCGGCCTATCTCTTTCTCTGTCACTCTTCCTTTCAAAGAAAAAACAAAATAAAAGTTTAGAACAAAGAATCTAATCAGAATTCTTCCAAATCAAAAACCATTGAGATGGTATAGATTATAGATTGTTAATTACTAGAAATACCAATGGTTCTGGATAAAAGAACGTCTTTTTAATTTATTTTTTTAAAAAGATTTATTTATTTTTATGACAAAGTCAGATATATAGAGAGGAGAAGAAACAAAGAGGAAGATCTTCCATCCGATGATTCATTTCCCTCCCCCCCCCCCCATTAGTGCAAAGGCCAGTGCTGTTCTGATCCAAAACCAGGAGCCAGGAACTTCCTCCAGGTCTCCCATACAGGTACAGGGTCCCAAAGCTTTGGGCCATCCTCGACTGCCTTCCCAGGCCACAAGCAGGGAGCTGGATGGGAAGTGGAGCTGCCGGGATTAGAACCGGCGCCCATATGGTATCCTGGCACATTCAAGGTGAGGACTTTAGCTGCTAGGCCACACAGCCAGACCCTAAAAGGACATCTTTTTTAGTGGTATATTTAGATATGTTTTCACACTTGTTCAGGGTGAAATACAGATTCTGAAAGGGTTTAAATATTCATATATAATGTGTGTGTGTGTGTATATATATATATATTTTAATGTATGTATATTAAATAAGGCATTAATAGAAATACATCTTTAAAAATGTTGAAGTTCAGTTATTGCTTTACAGCTGAGGAAAGGCACGTATTCCCAGGGTGTCTAAAGACCTCAATCACTAGGAACCTAACTATATAAGGGAAGTAAGTAATCATGTCAGGTGTCTTTCACTTCACAAAAAACAAAATGTAGGGATGGAAGTACAAGAAAGCAGTCTCTGATCTCTATGAGCTGAGACTGTGTTTGACACGGTCCTTGTCCAGCACACTGCAAGTTTTCATATGGTTAGTAGCAGTGAGTCAGGGTGGTACTCTGTCAAACTCAGGCTGTCTTTATTGGTGCCTAGGACTTGGACAGGCAGGTGGGGGGAAGTTGGGCAGTCCAAGGGTTAGTGTGTCCATTGGTGATATTTTTTTCAAAGCCCAGCGTCTATGGATGCAGTGAAGCAGGCAAGACATGTATCACTGAAGCTCCTGAAGAGAGGGTTTCAATGTGTGTAGGTATCTTGCTTAATTGAGGGAATAGCCCTTGCCCTTCTAACTGTTCCTATTCTGAAAATGGTTGAGTAGGCTGTCTGGATAGTTGATACATGTTATCATTCTCTTCCTTCCTTTGTGAGGTGTTGAGGTAACTTCAATATTTCCTCTTGGTAAGCCTTTGCATAACCTTTGTTGTGCATATGTATTATGGATAGCCAGTTCTCTGTCTCTCTCTCATTCTTTTTATAAGATTTATGTATTTTTATTGGAAAGGCAGATATACAGAGAGAAGCAGTTTTCAGAAAGAAGGATCTTCATCCTCTGTTTCACTCTCCAATCAGCTGCAAGGGCTAGAGCTGAGCTGATCCAAAGCCAGGAGCCTGGAGCTTCTAGGTCTCTCATGAGGGTGTAAGATCTCAAGGCTTTGGGCCACCCTCTGCTGCCTTCCTAGGGCACAAGCAGGGATGGGAAGTGGAGTAGCACCCATATGGGATCCTGGTGGATACTAGATGAGGATTTAGCCTTTAAGCTATTGTGCCAGCTCCCACCCCCATTTTTAAAACGATATTATTTATTTTTATTGGAGAAGTAGATTTACTGAGAGAAAGAAAAAGATCTTTAGTCTGCTGGTTCAGTCTCCCAAGAGGCAGCAATGGCTGGAGCTGAGCCAATCTGAAGCTAGAAGCCAGGAGCCTCTTCTGGGTCTCCCATACAGTGCAAGGTCCCAAGGCTTTGAGCTGCCCTCAACTGCTTTCCCAGGCTACAAGCAGGAAGCTGGGTGGGAAGTGGAGCAGCCAGGACTCAAACTGGTACCCATATGGGAAACCAGCGCTGTAGGCGGAGGCTTAATTTATGCTGTGGTGTTTACATCCATTTTTCTTTTAAAATTTGTATTTTTGGGGACCAGTGCTATGGCTCAATAGGCTAACCATTCACCTTATAGCACCAGTATCCCAAGTGGGTTCTAGTTGTGTTCCAGGTGCTCCACTTCTGATCCAGTCCCTCACTGCTTGTTCTCTGGGAAAGCAGTAGAGCATGGCCCAAAGCCCTGGAACCCTGCACGGTGTGAGAAAAAGTTCCGGGCTCCTGGGATTCAGATCAGCTCAGCTCTGGCCATTACATCCATCTGGGGAGAGAGCCAGTGGATGGAAGATCTCTCTGTTTCTTCTTCTCTCTGTAAATCTGCCTTTCAAATAATTTAAAGATAAAGAAAAATATTTTGCGATGTAGTGGGTTAAGCCATCGTCTGTGATGCTGGCATCTCATAGAAGTACTTAGACCATCCTTGCCTTCTTTGGCACATTTGCAGGGACCTAGAATAGAAGTAGAACAGCTGGGACTCAAACTGGAACTTTAGTAGAGGATGCTGGCATTGCAGTTGGTGGCTTAGCTGGCTGTGCTGCAACACCAGTCCCAAACTTTGTTTTTAAGTTTTACCTATATTTGTAGCATTTCTTTTTATTGTTGATATTTCATTACCACATTTTACAATAATTAGCACATTCATCATTAGTGAATAAATTATAACATTTGTGTTTTGACTTTTTGAATAGTGGTGCAATGAACTTCAGTGTACAAGCCTTTCTGTCTTTATGTGGGTACATATACTTTTAAAAATTTGTGTTTAGGGCCCATTGTGGTAGCCTCGTGGCTACAGTCCTCGCCTTGCACACACCAGGATCCCGTGTGGGTGCTGGTTTGTGTCCCTGCTCAACTCCGGCTATTGCGGCTGCTTGGGGAGTGAACCAGGGACAGAAGATATTTCATTTTATATTTCCTTCTCTCTTTATATCTGCCTTTCCAATAAAAATAAATAAAACTTTAAAAAAACCTTGAGTTTAAAGTAAAATTTTGTGTAGTTTTCCTTAAAATTCAGTGATAGAGGGGCAGAGAAAGAGAGAGAATCTTCTATCTGGTATTTCACTCCCCAGGTGTTTGTGATAGCTGGAGCTAGGTTGATCTGAAGCCAAGAGCTTCGTTTGGGTCCCCCTTATGGTTGCAGAAGCTCAAGGCTTTGGACCATCCTTTGCTGCTTTCCCAGTGTATAAACATGGAGCTGGATTGAAAATGGGGCAACCAGGACTTAAACTTAAACTGGTGCTGATATGAGATGCCAGTGCTGCAGGCAAAGAATTGTTGTGCTATACTACAATGCCAGTCCCATCTAATGAAGATTTTTAAGCAGAGAAGAACCCATGTACCTATCACCCACATCTAATAATCAGTTTTTAAGATTTGTAAAAAAGATTTATTTATTGGGTCTGGTGTAGTATTCTAGTGGCTTTATGTACTAGGGGATTGTTATTTCTATCTGTGATTTAAGACATAAACTTTTTTTTTAAATTAAGGACTTGTTTATTTTATTAGAGAGGCAGATTAGATTTACAGAGAGAACGAGAGATAGAAAAATCTTCCACCTGCTGGTTCACTCCGAAGTTGATCTGAAGCCAGGAGCTAGGAACTTTTTACAGGTCTCCCATGAGGGTCCCAAGGCTTTTGGCCATCCTCGCCTGCTTTCCCAGGCTATAAGCAGGGAGCTGAATGGGAAGTGGAGCTGCTGGGACACAAACTGGCACCCATATGGGATCCCAGTGTTTGTAATGGGAGGAACAGCAAATTGAGCCATTGTGTCAGGTCCTAAATGTTCTTTTTATTTATTTATTTTTAAAATTATTTTTTAATAATCTTACTTGATTAGGGTAAAAGGGTCAAGGGCTACAGGGTGAAAGTGGGTAATACCATTGTTTCCACAATAATATTATCATTTTTCCCTGTATCTGGGGTCAGGGGAGAAAGGGAAAAGCCCCACCCAGCCTCCCACCCATCCCAGATCCCCAAAGGGAGGTGCACTCCTAGGGTCCTGCTCAAATAGTTCTGGATTGCTGCCAATCTCGCAGTTCCATTTGCAATGAAACCTATTCAGAGTCCACTGGCTGACAGTCTCTTCATGCTTGGGGTTCTAAGATCAGCAGTTCAGTTGGAGGGATCTCCAAAGAAACTTCATCTGAGATGATCCCAGTTCTGATTCTTGCGTGAATTTGCTAATACAGGGTCCAGCACTGTCCGTTGCGCCAGTCGGCTTGTGCACATGCTGGTCGTTGCCATTGCTGGGTCAGTTCTGTTTCCAGCCCTGTCTTCCTCATGAACCAATGGGTATTGTAGTCCAGCTTGATCCTACCCAGTTCATACTCGGTCTTCACACAAACCAGTGGGAGCTGCAGCCTAGTTGGGGTGACTCCCCATCTCCCCCACCAGTTCTGCCCTCTACCCTGGTTCCCATGCTTGCCAGTATGTACCTCAGGCTTGTCCAGTCTGTCCCACATCACATTACCTCTCATACATGTCAATGGGCATTGAAGTCTAGTTCAACCCAACCAACCTACTATCCAGCTCACACACATACTGATGGGTGCCTTTCTGTCTAG